ATTTTTGTGTCTTGATAAAGTATTACTGGTTCTGATAAGACAATAACTCATCAAATCATTTTGGGTACATTTATTGTGAGACTGATTACAATAAAGTTAGTTTTTCGTCTCTTTCCTGGGTCAATCCTCGATCAAATTAAGAGCGTGGTGCCTCGAGGTAAGATAATTAGTGTGTTGAAATAATTCACAAATTATCCATTTTAGAATATACCCAAAACCCCTACACTTCCATAAACCTCCTTGATGTCTCTGATCTTGACTTTGAGCTGCTTCTGTATACTTCTCAATAACGCCCTGTTTCGATCCCCAAAGGCTTTTTTTGTCTTGTTTAACAGTTCCTTTAACTCACTGGTGATCCAGGATTTGTTATTAGGGAAGCATCTCACTCTTCTGCTGAGATGAGTTGTATTGTTGAAGTTTATATAATCACACACTCAATCACGGCATTTATGTCATCTCCATGTGACTGGCAAAGAGCAATACAATTTGTAGCTTCAAAACAACCCAGTAGGTCTTCTTCGGCTTCCTTTGAYCACTTTCTCACAGTCCTTGTAGTTACAGGTTGTCTCTGAACAAGTTCTGAGAAGAGAAAAACAAGGTTGTGATCGGAATTACCCGCAGGTCTTGCATTGGAGATATATAAATCCTTAACATTACTCAAACAAAAGAAACAAATGCCCGAAAAGAAAAAAACTCAAAGTAACAGAGCTACTCCAAAGTGTTGCCACCCTGAGCGGCATAATTCTAGATTCATAAGAAGATTCCATGCCCTCCATGAAACTACACCTGGTGCAGAAACAATTATCTTTCTGATAGATGGACAACAGTTTGCAACCAAATACACGCCCCAGGCAGAAACTGCATCACACACCTCAAACCAGTTGAACTGAGGAAGATTAAAACAGGCAGTATGGTCGCTCCGCAGCCGACCGGACGATACGCCATCATGTGGTTGTTCGGCATTTGTTTTCGCACACACCTTTCGTAGCTCCTGAGACGCCTGAGACCCTGGAAACCCCTCCCGAGGCAGCATACATCACTGCATGGGATTTATCCCCAGTGGAGTTCAATGTGAAAAGAAAAAAGTCAGAGACTCGTAACCCGACGTCATTTATCCACCAAATGGTCCCGGATTATCAGTCAGATTCCACCATGAAAAACGTCTGTTTTATCACCTTTTTGGCCATTTGACCATCTTTAAAAACTGCTGCTCCCTGGTGCAACAATTGGCTCTGGAAGAGAGTTGCTTTTTTTAAGTGAGTGCTTTCAGCACAAATACTCCCACAAACTTCTGACCAATCACACAATCAATTTCTGATTGGGGGCAGGGGTAAAAAGTTTGACCCGTGGGTTGCAACAACAAGTGCTGAAATGTTGACAATGCAATCAAAATGAYGCAATTTTCATCATAAAACTGTGACAGCTCGGCACGATTTCAGCAGTTCGGCTGTGTTACAGCCCATTGAAACACAGAGGGTCATAATATATTTAAGGAGGACACAAAGACAGAATTCAGGAATGAAACTTTTTATTAATTATTCCACCTGGTCCTCCAAAAAAAAAAAAAAACTTAGCTGAGGAGGGAAAAAAAGGAACCAAAACTTTCCTGCAAAAAAAATAATAAAATAAAATAAAGAGCGAGGAAAGTTAAGGACCATTGTCTTAATTAAAAATAACTATCCAAAAAACAAAACTCAAAGTTCAAACAAAAGATGGACCTGGTGAGCCAGCCAAATAAAACTAAAGGTGTGTCAGTGGGCCAACCCGATACAGGGCCGTCGAAGCTACAGCCACACCAAACTAAACAAACAAAAACCATCATAAAATGATAAAACATACTCACGAAAAGACAACTGGTTCCACCAGGTCCAAGCTACAGAAAAAGAAAGGATCAACAAAAGTCAAAACTCAGCAGGCTGAGGCAGAGGGACAAGGCCTGCAACCTGTCTCACCTGCAGCCAGTCTCACCTGCAGCCAGTTTCACCAGCAGCCAGTCTCACCTGCAGCCAGTCTCACCTGCAGCCTGTCTCACCTGCAGCCAGTCTCACCTGCAGCCAGTCTCACCTGCAGCCTGTCTCACCTGCAGCCAGTCTCACCTGCAGCCACCCGAGTGCAATCTGCACCAACTAAAGGTGAGCAGAGGAGGGAGAAGCTAAAAAAAGTGCTACAGACCAGCCATTTTTTTAGGCGGGCAGTGCAGCTAACCAATCAGAGCCTTCAGAAAATAAAATGTTTTAACTATAAGTAGTAACCATTCAAAAAATACAATATTGTCTCTAAACCCCCCAAAGGAAAAAATACCCAACTATATTATTTATTTATTCATTTATTCACTGTTCTTCAACCAGGCACGTCTATAAACCAAAACAATCTGGAAAAAAATAAAAAATTAGGTAAAATGTACCAGAAGCAGATAACAGGCTGCCTTAAGATCCCGTTTGAATTAAACTTCACTGAAAATAAACCGAAGTCAGTTTGAACTGACTTGTGCAACGACTGACAGAAAAATAATAATCTGACTTGATTTTTTTTGTTTACTTGGTTTTTTGATACTACTTTTGAGCATCACAAGCTTTTTGAGATAAAAACTCATGATTGTAGTTTAATCTTGTTCAGAATGAGTTTCTGCAGTTGTTTCACAATTCATTTTATTTTTTGAATCTAGAGTAAAATGTCCTAACTTCAAAAATTAGTTTCTCTTCAGTTTACGTGCAATATGTTGTATATTACTAGGTAATATTGCAGTACTTTTATTAACAGGTTAAGTGTAAACAGTCTGCATGATTAACTGTATTAAAATTACCCACTAAGATTTATTTAATTAAATAGTATTTTTACGTTGTTACCAAGTCATTACATAGGAAATTACTGTACTTGCTTAGTAAAATGTTACCATGTAAATACTAGATAATTGCATGATAATTAGGGGCCTGTAAAAGARATGGTTACTGTAAAATGTAACATGTAACACTTTCACAATGTGGTCATTTGCTCAGATTGGACTTATCATATTTTGTCAGAAACCAGTAAGCTCTGGTTTAGGAGTAAGCAGACAGAGAATTTGATTAAAAGTGTTTATTTTTTGTGCAACATGAGCTGATGTGAGAATCGTCACACAACTCAGGTAAAACTCACAAATGTTCAAGGTGAAGAAATCAGCTCGACGTTTGAACTGAAACAGTTTTATTTATTGTCAGCACTTTTTACACAACGGCTCTTATTTACACACAATCTGTGGATGCCACTGAGACACACTGACCATAGATTCACCCTKTAACCCTTTAACCATGGTCTAATCTAATGTGGCAGATTAGACTCCGCCTCCTCCTGTAGAAAGAGAAATAATCTGATGAAGGCTTTCTGACTCTGAGCATCTTTAACTGACGACACGAAGCAGCTGCAGAGCTGCTTCTCTTCTGATCACTGAACATGTGGCTGCACAAACCTGGATTTTTATTACAGTTATTCTGGTTAATCTAATCCTTCTGTCAACGTCTTTGTTCTAAACTCAAGATTCAGTTTTACCAGGTTAGTCTGAACAGTCAGACAGTTGATAAAGATCAGGATTGATTTGGGGAAAAAAGACCAGTAAGCTTCATTTCTGACAATGGAATGAAGCTTTGGAATTTGTAAAAAATCAAACAAACAAAAAAGAAATAAAGCAAGAAACTGACAATTTCAAAATTATTTCCCTCAACAACAAAAAAACAAAAATGTAAAGTTATTTTGTGCAGCAATGTAAAACAGATCAAACTGTAGACAGGTTTGGTCATTAAGAGGATTGGATCATGTTTTACTGACAAAACCCATTTAAACCATAACTTTTATTTGAATCTGAAATAAAGAAACTGTGTAAAAAGTCCACATGAAACGATTCATCAGATTTAATTTGATTAAAATGTGAAAATCCCTTTTTTCTGTCTCTAGTCTGAGAAAGTTTCAGTTTGACGTCCTGGGTAGGAAAGAATCCATTATTCTTTAAATTTACAGCTAAAGAGTTCAAAAAACAAACTTTGACTTTAGAGTCAGAGAAACCATCTGAAAGGGAGACTCACGAGAAAACAACAGTCAGCATTTCACCTGTTTGTGTTTTTATTTTATTTTTACATCTCTGTGTGCAGTTAACCTGAGTGTGTCCTGGACACAGGTGTGTGTGTGTGTGTGTGTGTGTGTGTGTGTGTGTGTGTGTGTGTGTGTGTGTGTGTGTGTGTGTGTGTGTG